GGCTTTTCCAGCAAGCGGGCCTGGCCTAGGGAGGATTTTAAATTGGGTTTATTTTTAAGAAAATTTTAAACAGCACAACTTTAAAATATTTGGTTTTAATTTGGTTTTATTTGGTGGGGATTGTAAATATGTTTTTGTTTTTAAATATGTTGTGAGCCGCCCTGAGTCCCGTTGGGAGAAGGGCGGGATATAAATCAAATAAATAAATAAATAAATAAATTAGTTAGATCTCCTTTACAATTTATTTATTTTTTTATTATTGTGAAAAAAATTCATTGCAACCCATCTACACTAATGGGGGATTATGGTGGAATACGCACGACTGCTCCATATTTCACTAGCTAATTTCATCCTTTCCTTCCTCTTTACAGTACTGCAGGGGTGTCAAACTGCCAGCCTGCGGGCCAGTTGCATCATGTGGAGGCTGTGCCCATCGCAGCTGCAGCAATGCAAAAAAAGTCACAATACATCACAACACGTCACATGATGTGGCGAGTTTGACACCCGTGCAGTACTGACATTCACTTCCTCCAAATACACAAATAGAGAACAATTGTACAGGTGTTTGCCACAGCTGTGAATCATATTTTAAATTTTCAGCCTCATAATTATAGACTCACAAAATGTTTCTTGTGATTATGCTCTTTGGTAAGTTGTACAAGCATAATATCAGGAATCCTTTGTTTTCCAACAGAGACATAAGTCATTTACAATGGCACGGTTCATAAGAACAGTTAAGGCACTTTAAGGTATAATGGAATTATTCCAAGAGAATAATGATTTAGGCATGAATTGTTTGGCATTCCCTCACAACTCAACACACCCATGCATTCAAAGATTTATGTTTCTGTTCTTTCTCCCTAAGAGATTCTTCCAGCTGAGAGAAAAACAAGCTATTTAAAAGCAGAATGATTACTGTGCACATTTCAAGGAAGACCATACTGAAAGCAGCCAAAACTGAATTAAAACAATTTACAAAAAGGTACTGCAGCCGTTTAATCAAATGCAAAGCTTTCATCCAATTATTTATTTTCTTTATAGAACAATCTACATATTATAAGGCTATTCAGTTTAATTAAAAGAACTTGGGAAAATAACTTTTAAAAAAAAAACAAAAAAACAGATCTTATCCAGTTACTCCTATAGCATGATGCCACATCAGTGTCTTGGTTTAAGACTGTAAACTTTTCTTTCCCTTTTTCTGCTAATTACATAAAATGTATAAATGAGGTTTAGAATAAGATCTAAGAGTGAGATGGGCATACCTAAATAATAAAATAAAATAAAATAATAATAAATAACTTATTACTTACTATACTGCATGGACTGTGGTGGTATAGATACCTTCATATTTTTAATGATGCTTTTTTTGGCATCGATGGCTAAGGCATCTTCCAGCATACAGGTGAAAAGATAAAAGGCATAATACATCCATAATAGAATTAATTGAGGATTCAGATCCAGAACATTCCTATATTCTCAAAACACCCAGCACCTCAAGTACGAAGAAATCCACTAATCTTACCATGGACCTTGGCACAATCCCTAAACACCGACCTTATTTTCACTTTCTTTTTCTCTCTGTATCCTTGAACATCTGATTTCTTGTTTGTCAGACAGTTCCAGTTTCCAAAAGTCTCCATGCGTTTTTTTTTATGGACGTCCATTGAGGAAATGTTGCATCATGTTTTTTTATGTGATTTTCATCCCAAGCAAGATTTAAGTTTAATGGAAAATCCTCTTCAGCACCTCCAAGAGTCATTCAACCAATGGTGCTGCCAAAAGAACATTGTCTCACGCCATTTTCAAAAGACCTCCCCAAAAGCAGCATTGCACTGACTTACAGCTTGTCTCCTGCGTTATTAAACATAATTTACATGAAACTAAATGTTGCATTTCCCTTTGTATTGCTATCACGGGAGTGCTCTTTGATCGTTTCCTGACCCCGGATTTTCAGTGAAGGTGGAGACAAAGTGTATGTTTACAAAGTGTATGTTTACACAACTCCCTCCCATGCAGATTTTATTCAAATGATCCAACTTGGCTCTGGTAACCCATGGCCTGATTACATCATGCTTGCACTCTTATACTGGGAGTCTACAACCCAATTGTTGTAAAGAGTAGCAAGCAAACTCCTCATTGCATCTGCATCATGTTGGGCATTTGGTAGTATTTATTTAGTGACCCCTTTGGACAGTGACCATTTGCAGTTGCAATGATGATGAAAAGTAGCATTGCCACCGATGCCTTCATTTACGACTTTCTCAAATCCGCAAAGCAAAGGAAAGTTGAAGTAAGATCATAAGAACAGTGGCAGTCATGTGATTTTATACTTAGCAGCCAACCACTTTGTTTAACGAATGAGTTGCCAGTCCCAATTGTGGTCACTAAATGAGGACTGCCTCTATTATGGAACCTCTTGCCCTGGCTCCCATTTATTGCTGAGTGCAATTCAGTAATTGATTTTGACCTTTAAAACCACTTAATTTTAAAAGATTAGGACCCGGCTCTCAAAGGGACTATTTAGATCAATAAAGATAGGAGAAGGTATTTGAGATTTATTGGAAAGTTCTTCAAGGGCAATGTTTTCCAACCTGGATAGTTTCCAAATATGGGGACTTCAACTCCCAGAATTCTCACCAATAGGAAGTTCTAGGAGCTGGAGGTCACATATCAGGTGGGGTGTCCAATAGGAAAACCCTACCCTAGGGCTACATCAACTGCAAAATCTGGATAACCTCTATGTCAGAGATCCCCAACCTTTTGGGCACCAGGGACCGGTTTTGTAGAGAGAGGTTTTTCTGCGGACTGGAGGGTGTGTAGTTTTGTGTGCTGCCTACATCTCGTGGATAGGTCTTTGCTTGTTTGTGTGGACCGGTTGCTGGCATGCCGCGGCCTGGTACTAGTCCACAGACCAGGGATTGGGGACCCCTGCTCTATGTGACCATTAAATGCTAACATTCCAGTATCCTTTTGCTACCGTCCAGAGGTATTCCAGATTTTTGCAAACTAAATACAGTAGCCCTAATACTAGTACTTGAAGAAATTATCAAGGAAAGGACTTTTGCCTGCAAAATGTATCTCTTTCGGAACTGCAGTTGCCTTCAAAATTACATGCTCTGTATTCATATAACATTTTTTTTAAAAAAAAGAGAACTTGGACTTTTATATTATCTTGAGTGTTTTATTGCTGCTTTTATGAATTTATGACAGCTACATAGCCATGTTTATAATGTATCTATTATTTTATTTTTAGATCTACATGCTGCGCTCCAGCAAAGATATTAGGTGGTGCACATAATGTTCCTTCTTTGGCATTTTTCCCTAACTACAAGCTTGTGATATTCACTGGGTTGAGAATGAATGACTGGTCCACAGTTACTCAATTCAGTCACTAAAGGCAGTTTTGAACTTGGTTCGCCTCTTGGTTAGGGAGATTAAACACAGTCTGTAACAATGGAGGGCAGATGAACAATATTCAATTCAAGGGGAATCCACAGATTATCTCAGTTTCGGAAGACAGGTTGTTGCGTTGACTGTGAATTTCCCCTCTTTTTTCATTAATGAAAAATAAATGCGTTCCCAGAATTTCAGACATCAGCATGGTCTGCTTACAAACGCTGTCAGCTTTTGTAATCTGAAATGCAAAATTCAAAGGCAGTTAGGCCACTTCAGAAGCGCCCCTCCAAATATTTCTCTCAACTTTTAATCAGCATTGTCTCAGTTCCCACACTATTGAGTTAAGTTGGTTGAGTTTCCATCCAACATGCTGTAAGGGCTCCATGTTTGGAAGTAAGGAAATCAAATCCATTCTTTAAAAGAAATTTGATAGCCAATTTTCACATCAGATGAAGTCTGCCATATTCATGGAATTTTAGAGAAAGTCCAGTTGTTGCCATTTTTCTTCTGTTCCTAACCACAATGATGCCAAAATGGTAGAACTTGCCTTGGGACATCAGAGTGCAAGTTCTACACTTTCATAATTGCATTGTAATATATGCAAGCACAACACAACCCACCAGCACCTATGTTGCTAGACATGTTCAGCAATAGACCTGTAAAACTGCTACAAAACAGATGACTGTAAATAATGTTGTGTACACATGGTTCATTCACAAAATACCCAAAGGGTCCTATGAAGCTCCATTAGTAATTGTTAATTATACTGACCACGAGCTATGCCAAAAAGACCTTTTGCATGCAACTTACCCATGGTTAATTTAAATGTGGTTAGAAACTTAAGTAATTTTCTGGGTTTGTAAGACACATTGAATCATAAACTGACTACATGGACTGGATTTGCACAACACACTAATCTAATGTAGTTCAGTGTGTTGAGCAACAGAGCCACAGAGTTACAATAAAGCTTTAAAACCAAATAAAATACAAATTACACCATTGAACCTAGCCCTGGTTGAGGGTAGGACTCAGGCTGGTTGCATGCAAGGCAATGAGTAAGACTAAAAAAAAATATTAGTATATTTCCTATCGCTTTGTCAAAATTTAATCAAATCAATGGGCACATAGAAATGTTCATTTAAAAAACTAAGGACTTAGTTGCATTTTCACAGCCAGCTATCCTCCACACTCCAGCTAGCAATTAATATGTTTTTGATAAATAGATATTCAGATAAATAGACAACTCTATCTCTACCAACTGAGGGATTGGTACCAGTGACTTCCTGGAAATTCTAGCACTATAGTTTCTGGACAAAGCTCAGTTGATAAGAATCAGAAAACAGATGCAAAAACGAAATAATCATACTCACTGAAAGGGGACTTTGATACTATAGTACAGAGACCGAAGATATATTTCTCAGTGAATAAATCATGCAAGGTATGAAGGACTGGGAGAATTAAGGGGATTTTAGTTAAGTAATCCAATGGAAAATCCCAAAAACAGACAGCAGAAACCAGAGGCAGCTTCTGTTGCTGTTTAAGTATTACTGACTCATGGACGTTAGTTCAGCTCATCCTTGACCAATTCTCTGCTCTTTATTCTGTCATACAGCATGTCATTCCCACCCACTCAACTTGGTAGCTGCCCTATATTTTTTTTAATAGGTTGGCTTTGCAACGTCTTATAGCAGAAATTCCCTTCGCTGGCACTAGTTGTGGCTGCTCCAGGGAAACTGGTACTGTAGGTTAAGGTTGAAATACACTCAGGCCGCTATGCACGAAGCCAGTTCCCCTGACATTTTTTTTTTAAATTGTTTTACAAGCAGAAAAAAGAGAAAGTAAAACCTGCAGCAGTTATTGTTTCCTAGAGTAGCCACAGTTTCTGAGCAGGAGCGGGAAAGAGTCCCTACCACTCCACCCACAGAACTTACCGTCAACTGAGCCTGGAGTGGGAATTGAATAGTTTGGGTTCTCCCTGGTAGTTCTATCAGTGTCGGTGGGTGCAATCTTCAATCAGGGGATTTTTTTTCTTTAAAAGGAATTCAAGCTTTTAAAAATTGCACAATATAGTACCGCAATTGGAAGAGGGTCACAGTCAGTTGGCAGGCTTCCAGTTCTGCAAACCTAGTGGAAAGATTTAAACAGAAGGCTATAGTGGGGGAAGAGTATTGTGGTTGAACATGGTCCTTGTCAGTGGTATGGGAACAAGACCTATCAATTCGGTTAAAACCTGCACCTTTTGCCTGAATGGATAAAGGGTATTTAAAAACCAGGCAGCCTAAGTACTGTTTACAAGTCAGCATAATTAAACTGCAGGCATTTCATTAAAAGAAACAACATATGTCATGCAGGTCGCTGGAAAGATTCAGTGTTTAGGGCAATATAGATTTGGTGGAGAACAATAATACACCCAGGGTAAAGAAGGGCAAAGATTTATGTATGTATATACCCATCAGGCTACTGTATTTCCTTCTGGAGATAAGCAATGTTATTACAGTGCAGAAAAGGAGTAGTAGTAAGCCAAGGAAATTAAAGGTGTGAGGTAAGAAAACAAAAATGCAGCTAAATCTCATGTATACCTATCCAGGGGTAGGCAACCTTGGCTCTTTTATGACTCGTGGACTTCAACTCCCAGAATTCCTGGGAGTTGAAGTCCATGAGTCATAAAAGAGCCAAGGTTGCCTACCCCTGACCTATACCATTCCGTTTCGTTCTATTATCTCTAATCATCCTTGTTTCTTTGTGTATACCTCTTTGTGTATAACTTGACTTTTCTTCTTTAAACTTACCTCCTTTTGAAAATCTAATAAATTCTGTCACTCTAGCTTCCTTTCCAAGAGAATTCATTTTCTTCAAAATGGCAGACTGTGTTCTCCTTCCTCTGCTGAAGCCACACAATGTTTCCATGAGGGTTACAAAGGAGTGTGTTTGTTATTATGAACCATTGCATTTAATTCAAATTTTTAATTTATGGAAGTCCATTCATAAGTACAGGTTGTAAGTCAGATATTCTTAACCCAGGCATTGCCAATATTCCTCTACTAACTTTCACACATTCATTCATTTCATAATAATCTGCTGAACAGCAAAAATCTGTTCTGCACAATCTTTGCCTGGCATAAAGCCACATTCTTGCACAAGCAGGATATATAACCAAGTACAATGTCACTTTCCCCCTCAGTTTAGTAACTAAGGAATAGAAACACCAATTGATGGAAATTCCACAAGCAGCACCAAAATCTTCATTCCAAGAAATGCTGTTAAAATAGCCTGAAAATGTGTAAAAACAAATCCAGCATATGTAGTATTTAAGATCTGGATTTGTGGAGATAGCTAAAGCCTACTTGCTGGTTAATGAATGTACTTCTATGCTCACACGCACACATCCTCATTTTCTCTCTCACACCCACTCAGGTTTCCCACACACAAAATACAGCCTATGGCCCCGGTGGTACAATAGTTAGAATGTAGTATTGCAGGCACTCTACTCACAAATTTTGATCTGGAGTTTGATTCTGATGGGCTCAGGTTGACTCAGCCTTTCATCCTTCCGAAGTTCGTAAAATGAGGACCCAGATTGCTGGGGGCAATATGCTGATTTTGTAAACTGCTTAGAGAGGGCTGTAAAGCGCTGTGAAGCAGTATATAAGTCTAAATGCTATTGCTATTGCTATAGCTGTGCTTTCACACACATAATCCATATAGACATTATTGTACCCAAAGCTTGGCCCGATATAAAATGTATATATAAATTAAATTAAATGTTCAAATTGATTGCCATTTTCTTATAATCATTTGTTTGATTCATGACTTTTGAACATTACCAGTACTATAGTAACATTTTCTCCAGGAAAAAAAATATTGCAAATAGCCTATAGGACCTGACTTTTGGTATACCCTGTGTATCACATTCCTCCAAGCTAGTCCATAATCTCAAGATTGGTAGAACATTCCCCCGCCTCCCCCCCCCCCCAGGATTGATAGGAGGAACTATCTTTACTTTCACCCACTTCCAGCATCGACTTAAATCCCAATTCCTTCGTATTGAAACAGAATAGTAACTCAATGGTTCTGAGAAATGAGTAAAGTAACATTGTATGGTTCACAAGAGAAGGGGCTTAACAGTTAACCATATCCAATTTAGCCAACTCTTTAATAAGCTAATCATCCTCATATGAGCCTCTGCGCTTCTCAGCCTTGGAGGCTTAAAATGTGTAGATTTCAACTCACAGAATTCCCCAGCTAGCAGGCTGAGAAACACTAGGATGGACCATGAAAAAAAAATAGTTCCACTTGGCAGTCAAATGATTTGGGCCAACAGAACCTAAATGTCAAGAATTAAGCTAGGAGCAAAATGCCTACAAATATTAATTAGGGATGATTCCAATAGAACAGGGGTGTCAAACTGTCGGCCCACGGACTGGACGCATCATTCAGAAGCCGCGCCCACCCCATTGCCGGCAATGGCAGAACCGTCCCGATACGTTGCGCGACATCACATGACGTTGCGAGTTTAACATGTCTGCAATAGAACAAAATACCTGTAAGCTCATGGATGAATTTAGGGAAGTGGATTAGTGTGGGATTTGCTCCATTAATACAGAGTAGCTTGCCTTGCCAGTTTTGGTGAGGGTGTGATTTTCTCGATATTTCCCATACGCAGAGAAGCCTGGATTACCACCAGCAAACAATCAAGCAGAAAGCAATACCCTAATCAATATAAACAAGGAATGAACTCCACACTGAACCGCATTGTTAGTGTTACCTAATTGGGTGATGAAACATCTGCAAGCAAACAGACAGCACCAAAGACTCCAACATTGGGGATGGTTTTGAGCACACGTGAGCAATGTTCACATTTAGAGGAGTTGTATAGGGGGAGTCAGAAAGGATAGAAAAGCAAAACAGAGAAGCTAAGGAGCATTGAAACATTCTTATTTCTGCAGGATAGGGATCTTGGTCAGCCACACATATCTGCAAATATTATTTCAGCAGTATGCCAATGTTTGTAATTATAAAGTTACTGAGTTAATCACCCAGACGGTCTTTAATTGGACAGCACAAATTAAAACAGATTACGATAGCACAAGAATACCATTGGTGTAGTTTTGTCTCTCAATTTCTTGCAGTCGTGCTTGTCAAACCTAATTTCTTCAGAATCAGTGCCCAGGCAAACAACTGAAAGAGCATCTGGGCAGTTCCCCTCTCTGCCTTGTTTTCCAAGTAAAAAACAGAATTCCTATCTTCTAGGGTATGAAGCCAACCCACCAGAAAAACACACATTTACACGTGGGGTCTTCTGTCGAAAGTCTATGATAATCTGGGGTGCAAACAAGTAATGTATGAAATTGCATAAAATATCTCATTTTGATCTTCAGTGCACTGAGAGAACACAAATTACAAAAAAGACTGAAATAATATATAGCAGTCATTGACTCTCACCCAATATAAGAATTAAACAAGAACTCAGTTTCAAGTTTATTTACCATTTTACTTTTTAAAAAAAGATTTTCAGTGTTTTCTTTTTTAAAAAAAATACTGTTCAGATCCTTGAACTACAGCCCAGGGCCTCCAAGTCTGTTTCTTTCTCCTTCAGCTCCCGAAAGGCTTGAAATGCTTCTATACACCTCTTCCCCAAATGGAAAGCTATTTGCTTTCCCCGGTCCCCTGAAACAGGAGGTGGAGGCGAGGGCAAGCAAGGAAAAGGATCCTGAATTAAAGTGAAGGTCCCAGTGCTTTTTCAAAGCAGAAAAATATAGCAGGAAACTGTCCCACCAAATTTTGATGACGCAGTTTATGCTGCGTCTGAAAATCAGGTCAAATGGGAGACTCATTTCTGCCTGTAACTGGCCCTGTCTAGTGGCATGTTTGACTCCAACATGTAGCATGCATAGGAAAACTCCTGGAGTGGAAACTTCATTTCCCCCCACCCCCCCCCCCCACAGCTCTGGAAGCTGAATGCAGTTTCAAAAAGGGAGAAACAGTTTTCATGGGCGACTTAAAACTCTCCACCGTGAAAGAGAAACTAACTATATTCCTAACTTTAAATTTCCCCCTCCCAATTCAAATCATCTTTTTTTCCCCACTTCCTATAAATTCCTCACCCACCCACTGAAGTATGATTCTAAAAATATTCAGATTAATGTTATTAATATTCATGCATTCCTGACTCTGCAGTGCGAAAAAGGGAGATGCCCCGCCCACCCCTCAAAGGTCCTTGTCCCCCTTGACATCCCATTCATGCGGTAAGGACACCTATTAATCCATGATCAGTAAGTAATATGCAGCAGTTTCATGGGGCTCCCCAGGTTGGTAAAATCGGGGACATCTTGGAATATCTTAGGACCAAATGGATGGAATGAAAGAGAGAACCCGTCTCCCCCTTCCTAGGTGACGAGGAGGAGGAGGAGGAGGAGGGAGAAGGCAGAGTCCCACAAGGATAGGTCCAATCTCAGGTCAGAACGGGCACTGCATCTAGGGTAGAAAAGAGACAGGGAGGAATGAGCAAAACGCAGTATTTTCTGTACGGAGAAAACTTGAGTCTAAACCTGAACAGGTTTAATGAAATTCAGCCTTCTCTGACTTACACTTTGCATAAACAAATAGGGGTATTCATGCCAGGCCTTGGGTGGCAACTGCTTGTCTGCCTTGCTTTCTATTTTTGGATGCTTGGATGATGTATACAAAACTCCACACATATGAAACAAAGACCGTAGCCTGTGGAATCTACCCCGTTTTAACTAGAAAAGTATTTCTTGACCTTGGAAACTTTTAAGATATATGGACTTCAACTCAAGAATTCCCCAGCCAGCATGCCTAAAGTCAGAATGGGACAACTCACCGAGGGACAACTCGCTGCGGGACAATTCAACAATTCAATTTAAATATTTAAAACAATTAGAAAATTATTTTAATTTTTGTCACTGACATTTTATTTTGGCCATTCTTTTGCATCTTTTCTTTAATTATTCTATTCCACCATTTCTTTGTTATTAGTGTAACTCAGGGGTAGTCAACCTTGGCTCTTTTATGACTCGTGGACTTCAATTCCCAGAATTCCTGAGCCACCTGGCTCAGGAATTCTGGGAATTGAAGTCCACGAGTCATAAAAGAGCCAAGGTTGACTACCCTTGGTGTAACTCTTGTCCTGCAGTGAGTTGATTATGGCAAGTTGGCCGCAGTGAGTTGTCCTAGACCCGTATAAAGTTGCCAAGGTTGAGGAACACTGAACTATAGTAGGATCTTGAGTTCCATTAATGAGAGCCAACTATGAAATAATTGAGGGAAGCTTGGAGAGTCAGTCCCTGCTTCCCTTGAACTAGACACCATATATAATGCTACCAATTTATATTACAGTCTGCATAGATCAGGAAGTCTAACATAAAACACCCAGTTGAGCTCAAGGAATCCCTACTGGCATCCCTATTACAGGAAATAAATACTACTTTGCAAATATACACATTGAGCAAAGTTTCAGCTATGGCATTAAAAAAAAATTAAGAATATTTTTCTTGCTTTCATTAAACCAGACATGTCAAACTCGTGACGTCACATGACGTCACGCAACGTATCAGGACTGTTTTGCCATTGCCGGCAATGGGGTGGGAGCAGCTTCCGCGTGATGCGTCTGGCCCGCGGGCCGGCAGTTTGACACCCCTGCATTAAACAACAGAAAATCAAAAACCTTAGCTCCTCTATTGCAGTCATCAAGCTGTCCTATATAATCTAATGCAAGTTCTGCCCAGTTTAGACCTACCCGTAAGATGCACCTTTGGATATGTGGTCTTAGCTGACGAAGATGAAGACAATGGAAGATGCGTATTAATGAGTACAAACTATTCCTCATTACTGAAAGTTATTTTTTTTCCTCAATTTCACTTGAATGTAAAAACTACTTTAAAAATCTGAGGCCTTGCTTTAAGTCTTCGACTAGCTAATGAGCCGTGGTGGTGCAGTGGTTAGACCATGATTAGTGGTTATTGCAGGCTAACTCAGCTCACTGCCAGGAGTTTGATTCTGACCAGCTCAAGGTTGACTCAGCCTTCCATCCTTCCAAGATCAGTGAAATGAGGACCCAGATTGTGAGAAGCAATATGCTGACTCTGTAAACTGCTTAGAGAGGGCTGTAAAACACTGTGAAGTGGTATATAAGTCTACGTGCTATTGCTATTGCTAAAGTATAATAAGTCCCAAAAGGAAGGATTTTTTAAACTTTATTACCTGGAAGAGACTCCTGGGCCCCAAACTTGTTCTTTTGGACACCAGGCTATAATCTTCAAAGGGGATCTTTCAATCAAAATGTCTGCCATTCTACTTTTTAAAGCAGATTGCTTGTGGCTACATTGCTTATTGTATCTATGCTTACATTCTACACTTTAAAGTGGAATTTATAGTACAGATTAATTTAGCATTCTTTAAAAAATATTCTATGATCTATTTCTCTTTTATAATTACATGAAGCAATTTAGGCATACAAATAAAGTTTAAGATGAATGCTAACTGACAGATTTAAACCAGCTTTCCTCCATCAGATGCAGTTCAGATGTTTGAGGTTATAAATCATAGGCTGGCCAAGAACAAAGAGAGTTTCAACTCAATACATCTGAAAGATACCAAACTGAGGAAGTTACATTTATGCTTTGTTGGTTAAAAAAAATAGCTAGTATGAATCTGCAAAACCTACTATTTATTTGAATTTATAGCTCTAATCGTAAGAACGTTTCAAAAGTAATGCAATGCAAATTGTGAAGTGGCCTTAAAATATTCCTACTAATTTTAGCTTTAGACGCTCATCTCTCACAAAGATGATCTATACCAAATTGACCACATCTGCTCAGCCAGATCTCAGCTAAATAAGATTTGACAAATCTTTTCCTGTGCATGCAGCCCTCTCAGTTGATTCAAGTAAGCCAGGAAATCAATGATTAGCACTAATTTCCTGGTTAACCAAAGCCAATTTTTAAATCATGAATTAATATCCTAGCTTGCACTAAAGCAGACAAATTATTATTATTATTGTTTTGTTTTGTGCCCTTGAATAAGTGTTGACTTCTGGCGACTACCTGGATAAGTACCTGCAGTTTTCTTTGCAAGTTTTTTCAGAAGTACTTGCCACTGCTTTCTTTTTTCAGGCTACAGAGAATGACTGACTCAAGGTCACCCAGCTGGCTTTGTGCCTTAGGTGGAACTAGAACTCACAGTCTCCTGGTTTCTAGACTGATGCCTGAACCACCACATCAAACTGGCTCTCTATGGCTAATTATAGTCTTCTTTTTTAGTTTACTTGCATTGTAGTGGGAAGAGCAAAGGTTGTGTGTGGCAAACATCATGCATTTTTATTATGTTAAACTGAGACATGAGCTTTTGAATCAACTCATTGCATTGCTTTCCAGTATGCTATTTATTCCACCCCCGTTTTTCCAACCTTGTCATTTCTTTGTCTAGGCAGCAGGGGGCACTCATTCATCCCCGACAGTCATGCCTCTCACTGTGCCCTTCTGGCGGATCTGCAATAGAATATAGAATTTCTGGTTGAATGGCTTTTTTGCAAGAATAATTTCCTAATGGGTTTGGCCCACTTCAGTTTCTCCTAGCCTTAATTCCACTTGTCAAAACAATTTTGTGTTTCCTAGCAATAATCAAGTATAACTGAATTCAAATGAATTTACATATTACTATATTTTAATCATAAGTGGCTGTTTATAAATATACAACCAAACGGACGGCTATATCGAGCAGTGTTTCTCAATTTTGGCAATTTGAAGATAATTGGACTTCAATTCCCAGAATTTTCCAGCCAGCATGACTGGCTAGAGGGGTGGTGGCGAACCTATGGCACGCGTGCCAGAGGCGGCACTCAGAGCCCTCTTTGTGGGCACCTGCACCATGCCCCGGAGATGGCAACTGTCCCTCTTCAACCAGCCGCCCGCTAACTCACCAAGGTCCCAGGTGGCTGGATGCATCCCAGCACGGCTGGTTTCCCTCCCCTCCGTCACATCCCTCCTGGCCTCGCATGCTCTCCTTTTCCCGGGCACGACCTACTGCATTGCCGCCTCAGCTATCGGCTATCCGGCTTCTCTGAACTGCTGGCGATGGGCTGCGGAGTCCCAGAGTGCACCGGTCGAGGGGCCGGCAGGCTGTGGCTGCTGACGGACACTGTCGGCCCCCCATGCGCTTGCTGGCCTCTGTGTGCGGGGGCTGATGGTGTCAGGCAGCAGCCGCCCGGCCTTGCCTTGCCCTGCAACAATGACACCCCCACCCTGCCTCGCCTTGCCTCGCGTCACCCTGCAGGACGAGCCTCCTGCCCACCGCCCCATCTGCCAGCGATCCCCCAGATCTCCCCCAACCTGCTGAGACCCCACAGGCGTCCCTCCCCACGAGCAACATCAAGGTGACCATGCCCACCTTGGCCACACCCACTCAGTCTGCCATGACCACCACAGCCACGCCCACCTAGTGGGCCATGCCCACCTGGCACCCGGCGATATATAAGTGGGTTTGGGGTTGCAGTTTGGGCACTCGGTCTCTAAAAGGTTCGCCATCACTGGGCTAGAGAATTCTGGGAGTTGAAGTCCTCACATATCTTCAAGTTGCCAAAGTTGAGAAACAGTGCTACAGAAGCAAGAGGCTACCTCTCCTTTTTAATTATTTGGTATCAAAAGAACAAAATAGCAATGGCACCATGGGAAATAGACGGGCCAATTTTTAAAATCTATTTGAAAAGTTTGTGGTGAGGGGGTTGCAATCTTTCCAACTCAAAATAGATAATTAAGCTCTTCACAACATGGTATTACTAAAATCTGATGGGTTTGCTGCTGTTACTATACTTGGTCTTAGCCCCAAAGCTGAGAAGTAATGTTTTTGATACTAATTCCAGCAATGATATATCTTAGAGAAAAAATATAGCAGACACAAAAAGGTTGGGAAGAGACTACATATGGATCACATATATCCCTCCCATATTATAAATTATTAATGTAATCTTTTTACATCTTCTTACTACTAAGACAGTCTTTTTTTTAAAAAAAAAAAACTTTCTTGTTATTTGCACCCTTTTAAGAATAAAACATGATTTTGAAGAAAAAAAAGCACATTTGTTTCATTTTTAGCTAGGATCCTTCATTTTATAAAATACCCTTATATTCATTTCCTTCTATAGAAGAATAAAGGATTTATCTCTTGTTATAGCAGAGACTTTCCGTGGGGAAAGAAAGCTACTTGATTACCCCATCCAGTACATAACCATCCTTAGTACCTCATCAAGCTCTTTCTGCGTCTCGTCCTCCATCCGCCGGATGTCAGCCATGCTTAAATCCACCCACTTATCCAACCAGCAAAAGAGCTGCCTATGGAAGTTGGTAAAGAGGCGTCTTTCTTGCTGTCAAAGGGGAAAGAGAAGCTTTTAAGAAACTTGAGATGCTGAGAATATAAAATGGCCCAAATTGGGAATGAAAAGCCGTTTTCTAAGCCTTTAGACATCAAAGTCACAGGAATAAATCTAGGCTAGGTTCTTCAGACAGAAAAGCAAGACTGGCAGCCATTTTGAACCACAGATAGTCTTTGACTTACGATCAACAATTGAGCCCAAATTTTTTTGTTGCTAATCAAGATAGTTGTTAAGTGAATTTTGCCCCATTTTAAAACCTTTCTTGCCACAGTTGTTAAATGAATCACTGCAGTTGTTAAATTAGTAACACAGTTAAGTGAATCTGGCTTCCCCATTGACTTTGCTTCTCAGAAGATCGCATGATTGCCCAGACACTGCAACCATCACAAATTCATGCCAATTGCCAAAGGTCTGAATTTCTATCATGTGACCATGGAAACACTGCAATGGTTGTACACGTGAAAAACAATAATGTCACTTTTTTCAGTGTTGTTGCAACTTCGAACAGTCACTAAACGAATAGTTGTAAGTCGAGGACTGTAGTTAATTCTGTGCTTCTGAGAAAATGGCCCGATGTTTACTGGACTCAATCTCTTTATCCTATTATTCCATAAAAAGCAGTATCAGCTTGATATTATTGAAGGGGGAGGGGCTTTCCTCCCTCAAACAGTGCTTCGGATTCCAGCAAATTTCCTCAAACTGGGGCAAACAACTGTCCACCTTGAACTCACCTTTTGGATAAACTTTTCAACCCTTCCCTGAAGGCCCCACCAGCGGAACTTCACAGTCACAAGTTTGTAGGCACACATGTGGGGACAATCTTCATTATTGGCTAGTTCCCGCTAACAGGAAAGAAAAAAAAAAGGGGGGGGGGAAGAGAGAACAAAATCAGAAGAGTTAAGGTGGGACCAGGATGTGGTATTTTGTCCAAGTGCATGTGACTTTTGAATGGCATGCCCAAAGTCACACTCCTCCAATACATTTATATTGGACATCCAGAACACAAATGAAATTCAATTTCATAGATTTGGTTTGTGATTAAATACAGTTACAGGTAAATCCTTGCTTAGTGACCATAATTGGCGCCGGCCACTTCATTGCTAAGCAGAAAATCACCTGACTGCCAAAAACTCTGAATGTCACTTCCCAATTATTAAGCAAACTGCCAGTCATTGAGACATCAGGTAACCAGAACTTGTGATTATATTCTGCATTCGCTCTGCTTGTCATGACACTTGTTGTGAAGCACCCAAATGGCAATCATGTGACTACATAATGCTGTAATAGTTGTAAATCCATTTCAGTTGTGAAGCATCCAAATGGCAATCATGTGACCCTGGGATGCTTGGATGGTCATAATTGTGAGAACTGGTCACAAAGCTAGGTGTTTTTAAACATCATCATAACTCTGATAGTTACTACATGAGGACTATTTGGGCTATCATCTCATTGCAATAATGTATGGGGTTTTCCTTCTGACACAGGAAAGCATGCAGAGCACATGGAGTTTGTGGACCAGGAAAGGAGGGAGGCCTTAGATGGAGCATGCAGCAGCATCTGAACTCAATGGCCTTTCCCACTGGAGGGAGGCACAGGGTTATTTTTGTAGACTTTTTCCTCTATAGCCCTTGGCTGGACCCAGCCTCATTTTAAACTCATGCTAGCTTCTCCCACTTACCAAATTTGGCCCAGTTCTGTTCAGAGGGCTTCCCAAAGATAGACAGGTAGAGTTACAAGCCATTTTACATAATTCCCTATTTTTATCATTCTGTTGGGTTGGAAAGAAGTTCTTAAAACTTGTAATACCACTCAAGGCTTGGATAGGGCATAGGTCTTCCCTCCCCCCTCAAAATCTTGGACATTTTAAAGTAATGTTTCTCTTTGGTGAAACATCTGAGAGGAACTTGAGAGAGGCAGAAAGAGCAGATAATGGTAAATCAAAATTTCCCACATAATTTTTTTCCCCAACAAACAATATACTTGGAAAAAAAAACCTTTATCCCTCCGGACAACCTTTTAAGTGAAGAAAAGGAGTTCGTGTTAGGCTGAGAAAATAGTGGCTGGTTTGGGACCATCAGATATATTTTGAAGACAAGTCAATCAATCTCATGCTATTAATCTGTCATCTCCATCCTGGTGCTCTCCAGATGTAGGCTGGGGATGATGGGAGTTGTATAGCAACATTTTCAGAGGGTGTCAAATTGTGGAAGGCTAGTCTAGCACAGCAGAGGAGTTGTGTGGCATAACTACACCTCTGAAATCCATGGGCAGCTTAAGTCAGCTCAGCGGAACAGCACTGTGTATAAGCAAGCTTTATAATTCTATGGAATAATTATAATTATTGCTTCTTTTCAAGTCTCTCTTGGAATCTAGAATGCCTGAACGCAGGGGGGGGGGGAGAGTTGGGAGGGAGGAGGGCAGGCAATCAAAGATGTACTAAAAAGCCAGTTTCCTTCTTTTTTGTGAGGTAGATATTACCTTCCAGTCAGGGCCGAGAGGGCCTCTGCCAGTCTTCATAGATTTGAAAAGAGCTGGATCTTCATCTGGTTTGTAATCCTGAAAGAGAAAAGAGTTGAGGAAAGGTGGCAGCATGCAGGACAGAAGTCCTAGCAAACTGTGATGTGAGGAAGAATCTGAACAACTATTTTTTAAAAAAATAGTTAGAACAAGTCAACACGTTTCCCGCTACAGTTGAGCAGAAACAACTAACTTAGCTACAGAGGAAGGTTGAAAAAGGCGATGTTTAACATCCAAAAGTCAGTGAAAAACAAAAGAAACGGAGGATGACACCAGAACTTAAGCAAGCTGTTAGTGGAACTGGTATAGGTCATCATCACTGTTGCCACCAGAAATTAATTATCTGTAGCCCACCAGAGTTTCCCAGTCCTCTTTTCATGACCCAGAATTGTCCTGCCTTTATCTCAGGTCACCCATCATGCCACCTGCTAAGGCCGCAGCCCAGCCAACATCTTCTTACATCATCTGATACGTTTGTCCGATCACCAATGTCTATGTGAACAACTTCCACATCTTTCCAAGTATCTGCATCCAGCCCGTGGACCTGCAAAGGAGAAATTACAATTTCAGAAGTTACTGACAATATCAAAGGTAGATGATTCTGGCGAATTTCTGCTTAAGTTTTATACATATTGGTGATATTTTAGACAGTGAATGAGTTCACACCTCATAATAAGGCACACAACTTTTTACAGTCTGCCTTTTGAGTAGCATTCTGCCTAGAATTGCATTCCAAAAAGAAGTGGGTGAGACCAGGACAAAAGAATTTGATTGAATTTTAATTATTATTAAAATGATTAGTATGATTGCTCTCTGTTCATTAATTGAAAAGTTTAAGAAATTATCATTAAAATATTTTTAAATGAAATATTTAATAATTCCCATTTCCATAATTTACAGTTTGATAACAAGCTCTAAATATGGATCGCCCTGTGGCCACTTATGAAGCACCAACAAAATTACTTTTTTAGGATAGGTTTTTGCTCAGGTTAACAGCTATATATAGATCAGATAGTCATGGTTTCAGAACATCCAACCGGTTTGAAACTATGTTTTTGTTGACTCACTGACTATAAATATAGTACAATATGATGTGTGAACAGGGCAGTATTCATGATTTTTTTAAATTCAATCATAGTTTGCTGTAAGGCCTTTTTTAAGCATCTAACCAAGACATAATTATGTAAGTCAAGACTTGTGTTTAAAAAGAAAAATAAAAACCTTGGCATTAGCTATGAAATTTTAAATGAACCATGAAAATTTTGCTTGTCTAAAAGACTGGTTTATGTCTCTGAAATATGATTAGCATGTGTGAATGCAGCCAGTATCTAAAATTGCTGCCAGCTTTCTTTTAATCTATTGGGATCCCTAGAGACTCTTCTCCAGCTGCCCTCCTTTAAGGAATAGGTGGGTAGCATATGGAATGCTATCTTCTTGGGGACTTCAATCAACTTTTGGAGTATTTCGTCCAGGACTTTCTCCAATCTTTTTCTATGACATATTGTCATCAAGTTAAAGCCTGTTGCATTTGCTTGAACTTGCTTGATACTTTAAATGCTAACCTATTTAGGTTCTGTATTACTTCCTTTTGTCCATTGCCCTGTAGAATCTTGTTTCATTGGGCTACTTTGTACATCATGATTAAACATAATTATTTTGATTTAGAGGTACTGCGCCAAGCAAGCTCTTGCTCCAGCTTCTTTGCTTTTTTAAAAAATCTGTTTATTCTAAGTGCTTTATTTCCTATTAAATGTGTCACACAATGCATGAAAATCTCACTGTTGACACCCTGCCTAGATAACACAAACCACTTCTGGAGAGGGAGATTTATTTCTGGAAAACCAGAGTCACTCCCTAAATAATCAAATCAGTCTTTTCCAGAACTCCCTAAGAGAACATTGGATTGTTCTATGCCTCAAACGTTGAGTTTAACACATCCCAATTATAACAACCCACAGTTTAACTGTAATTAAAGTGGACTTGGATACCATGTTAAATTTAACATCATACAAACCCTAATGGCTGGATTTGAACAATATGGCAAGCCCCAAGGAAATAAAGCACAGCTTAATTTCCTATGTCACACTAAGCCAATAAGCACATAATCGTAACAATTTTAAATTTCACTTCTACATAATTAGCCAGACATGAAAATAAATGCTGATAGGGATGTGTAAAGTTGAATTCTCTGAACCACAATGATTCAGCTGTTCCAAAGATTTTCTGGAAGCTAACTCTCCAAACCAGAATAAGTCAGTGATGTTCTCAATGTCCCCTAATCATGGATTAACCGCAGTTTTATTTCTGGGTAATAAAACTTGAATCCAGCAATGCAAAATCTTATTGCCTATACAAGCAATCCTTGACTTACAATTACAACTGAGCCCATTCTATTGCTAAGCAAGACAGTTAAGTGAGTTTTGCCCTATTTCTTGCCCTGCAACTGTTAAGATAGTAACATTAAGTGAATCTGGCTTCCCCATTAACTTTGTTTGTCAGAAGGTTGCAAAAGGTGATCACATGACCCCGGGACACTGCAACCCTCATAAATGCATGCCAGCTGCCAAGCGTCCAAAGTTTTATCAGATAATCATAGGGATGCTGCAACAGTTGTAAGTGTGAAAAATGGTCATAAGTCACTTTTTTCAGTGCCTCTATAACTTTGAACTAAACAAATGGTTGTAAGTCGAGGACTATCTATAAAGAATAAAATTCGGTAGGATTTAGGTACCCCAATTCTTTGGACTGTTAGCATGCAATCTGTTAGATTTGCATTTTTCCACTTACATTTTCGTGTTCACCTAAATCGGGTTTGTGCCATGTTTCAATTTTGACAAAGAAATCATCCTTCATGTACTCATTCTATCGAAGAGGAGAAGGAAACAAGGTTACAAGAATTCTTGGTGCAGACAATAGAACCTGCAAATACTAAAGGCCACACTTGTCAGGGATATGTTACCTTGAATCTTCTGAGTCAATTTGTATAACTATGAATTGACTATAACAATTCAATTCATAGAACAGATGAACCCCGTAAGACGGTACGTATTAGAGCAGGGGTCCCTAACCCCCAGTCTGTGGGCCAGATCTGGTCTGTGACCCATTGTGAACTGAGCTGCGCAAGGGGCAATGAGCACGCAAAGCTCCATTTGCGCAAGCAGTGAGCGCGCGTGTGAACTTGTCCCCTCTCCCCCCCCCACCGCCAGCAGTTCACATAGCCAGAAAGGTTGGGGACCCTGTATTAGAGGAAACAGATGTGTTCAAGAGGCTATGGGGAACAATAAACAGGGAAAATGCCGCCCATAGCTACCCATTTCAGAACTCACTCACCGTAATAACTGCAGCAGATGAGGCCAAAATAAGGGAAAAGACAAAAAGCATGTTAGTGTGGCAAAGCAACACAGAAAATCTTGCTAAATTACATCTTATTATTCTGCCCCAACAATAAGTACAGTAATAATGATGCATGACTCAAACTGTCATGCTAGAATCCAGCACTCAGTAAGCAGAATGCTACAGGCATCAGAGCTGAGAAGTCTAGAAATGGACGTTTTGGGATCCAAGCATTGCATTTAACTTTTTGGGGAGGACTCAGGGCCCAGTAGCATGAAGAATGATGCTAAGAGAAACTGCTATGTGATTCAGAGCCCGGATTTTCAATTTTTCTCCTGGGTTACGGAGTACAATTTGGGCACTTTTCTTTCCTTTAAAAAAAAACTTATGCTAAAACTTTTATTATGGATTCCTTTTTTACTGTTTTTTTTTATTTTTATTTTAGGCAAATGCATCTGGAAAAGGGCAGAGGTGGCCAATCCAAGCTATTGAGAATTAGCAGGCTTATTTTCAATGTGATGCTTAACATCATAGAAAGTGAATAGGAGAATATGACAGGAATGATCTCGTTCCCTTCTAAATGCTCCATTGCCCTCTGACCAATTTTGTAGAACTTTGGTATTTTCAGATTACATGCAGCAACAATAATAATAATAATAAACAGAGATCTGTTGGAAAATTATACCAAGCTTCATCCACCCTCTGCAAGCACCCTATTCTCAATTCAAGCAGGATTTATCATGAATGGGTGCTCCCTGAACCTCTGCCAAAACACTGCTATTTGCCACTGAGAATTTATACCAAAAATAAAATTATCTTATTCAGTAACATATGGAAATTTTAATGTTTTCTTGAATTATAGAACTTGAAAGACACCATCCTGGTCAATAATAGTTTCTGCCAATACTAAAGAGGTTTTTTCCCCCCTCCCGCAGGCTCACCCGTCCGACAGTAAGGATAGGCATTCCAGGCTCTTTCGTGGACAACAAGGGACCCTTCTGGGGCAAAAATCTTGATGAATCCTGGAACTTTGCTGTGGGAGAAAGAAGCAAGGGAAGGCTTCAGATCCAGCATTGCCATCAGCTGTCCACACCCAGGATGGTTCTTACCTCTGAAGGTGGTAGATCTTATGAGTGTACTGCCCCTGCTCCCCCTCGTGTTGGTAGGGCTCATTTTTCAGCACCTCGATTCCTTCACCACCACCAGTGTTGTTCTTACTAGCCTCAGCCACGGAAAATAATTGTCCTACTTGATACTGAAGATGGCAAAAAGACAGAGGAGGGTAAAATTCTGTTTCCCCTGAGAGAAAGGAAGGCTACTGATAGCTATTCGTGAGTGGAAGGCAAAGCAAGCCAGAGTGTGACAACCTCTGGACTACCCACAATCTTTATCAGTGGGGTTAATAAAGTTTCCCTCAGAGCAAGGTTTATTACTCACCTCTTCTACGGAGCAAGGTAGTACCACCCGACTGGATTTTTTTTTTTGTTGCAGGGGAGGAAAAGAAAGAGAAGGAAAATAGTTAGATAGGTTTCTCCCAATTTTCAGTCCCTCCCACCACTATTTTTTACTATATAAAAAGAGTGCATGAATGTACTCATACAAATATAGTATTTAGGTAGAATAGAGCCAGGAGTTTGATCCTAATGGGCTCAAGGTTGACTCAGCTTCCATCATTTTGAGGGCCCAGATTGTTGGGGGTAATAGGCTGACTCTATAAACTGCTTAGAGTGTCTTATAAAGTGGTATGTAAGTCTAAGTCCTATTGCTATATTTCATCAACAGATCAACTGTGATTGCTTAGAAAATACGCTGAATTCTCTGAGCTACAAAGGATCCTTCACAAGTTTTTATTCTTTATTTGTTTTTAATAGATTTTACAAGAAAAAAAATCTTTAAAAGGACATGATCCTTTTGGTTTGTTTGCAATAAATATTCCCATTAATCACTAAAATATTTATTCTCATCATTCCTGCCTAAAGAGATCTGAGATAAGAACCTTTCAAATCATTTTGCTTCAGCCACAGAATTTTACAGTGCATACAGACAACGAAACCTTTCGACCTTTTCTTACCAACTCCCTTTTTAACCCCCTTCCCCCCTTTTTTGCTTTAAAAAGTCATGACAAAAATATTAAATTGTTATATAAAAATAGGTACAATTTTGATTGCTAGCACTAGAAGCTATCCATCTGAAAATATTTTAAAGGATGTGACTAAGTTCAATGGGATAAAATCCATAACTATATTAAGTTACAAAGCAATTTATACTGGATACTGCAGTTTAGTTAATGGACATTATTATTCCACATTACTTCTCATTTAAAAAAGAAATCTCAAAGCAATTATAAACATATACGGTATGCAGAGCACAATTGGTTTCAATTATACTCTGAGTGGGAGGTTTATTTAAGGAATTATCATAAACTAAACTTGTCAACAGTCACTTCTCTATCCTTATTTATTAGATTTGCAAGGCCATCTAACTGCCATGTGACTTAATGAAGAGGACAAAAAAAGATTACAAATACCAAATAACAATAAAATGACAGAAATAATTATCCCCATTTTATTTCCACCTGAGCTAAGGACACTTGTTGCCCCAAGGGGCTTTTTTAGTAGTAAATAATACACTTTTTTAGAGTTTTGAGGCGACAAATGACTTGGGCCATTATGAACAAGCAGACAGATATTTGTGGACTACAAATTGTGTAGACTCTCCTTTTTTGCAAAGGTAGCAGAAAGATATTGGCGCCTAAGAAGCACAACAGATCATTGAAAGCTTTGTAGTTTGAAGCATGCATGTTTCAATATTGATTAGCTATGTTAAGGCTACCTGACTCAAAAAGAGAGCCTGGTCAGCTTACAAAATATCAAATACAAAACAAAAACAAAGTTAAAAACTACCCAGACAAGATAGCAATGATAACATTCAGAAAACATAGCAAGCTAACACCCTAATTTAGCAGTCCAAATTATCAACCAGGCAGGAAACAAAGCTATTACCAAAAAAGTGTTTAGCCTTTATGAGACACATAATAAAGGCAAAAATCTCAGAGTCCAATTTGAATTCTAGTGGTTTCATAACTATTTCTACGTGGATTTCTTGGACATTATAAAAAGGCGAGTACCAGGGCATTCTAGGATTTTTTTTAAATTGTCTAATCTATCACAAAATGTTGGTATTTCCTGTTGGCTCCCCCATGCACTAACTTGAATCAACTTTGACTTTTGAGCATGAAAGCAATATAAATAAATATATTCCTCTCCTGGCATGTTAGCAAAGAAAAATCTGTTGCAAACTTTCCTATATACTGCTTAAGCATGATTTGCGGTGACACTTTGCGTATGTGTTTTTATTCTAATTAAGTTCCACTAAATCTATTCCTAAAGTACAACAGTTTCTATATTGGAAAAGGCAGCCAAGAAACTATTGTGATAATTCCTAACGAACTCTCTCATATTTCTTATTGAAGATTAATAAGATATTGATGTTGGGAGAGCAGTAATTAAGAAGAAAATATCTTCTCTGAAAACAAGGAATGAGTCAGTTCTAAAAAGTAGACAACTGGCTTTGTGGTAGTGTGTTATTCTTAGTCTCCTCAACTGGATGCCATCTGTGAGCAGGAAAGAAGCTGGAAGAAATACGGCGCTTTCCGAAGCATTGAGACACAAGAGGCATGCTGGCTGGGAATAAAGAAGTTTTAATCCAACCCCTCAGTTAAGGCTGTTCAGAAAACAGGAAAAAATGCTACTTTGAACTCAAAGTAGTCAAAGAATCCATTTCATCCAAATGTCAGATCTAAACTAAGATTGATAATATTTTCACAGCATCCAAAATATAACATGAAATAGTTCTGGACTATATAACCGTTAGGTGCTACATAAAACAGTCAAATAAAGAGGGGGGAGGGGTAACCGTGTATAGCAGCTCCTGCGTCCCTCAGTTACCTACCCCCTTCCTTTATGAGCCCCTCCCACCTTCCAATTAATCCTTCCCCCCCCCCCGCGCACCTCTCACCCACCCCTGCCCCTCCAGTACTTACAACTCTTTAATGAGCACCATCCCTCACACCCTTCCAGCGTCTCGCACGCCCAAAGCACCGTGCCTTCTCTTCCTGGTCCCCACTCCCCGGTCATTGACGCCATTTCCGCCCTCACTCCAGCCGCCACTTGCCCAGACCAGCCCCTTACGACGCCATTTCCGCCCTCAATCGGGCTTCCTTTTTTTTCCCGGCAGAAGCCGCCGAAGCAATGAATGAGCGATAGGGAGCAGGGGTGGGTCTTCCTGTCGGACAGAGAATTGCCTCTTGATTGACAGGGCGGCCGATTCCGGAAACGAATACAATAGCCCACCTCGCGAGGAGGACTCCGCCGAAGAGTTTTGCTGAGGCGTGTGAAGATTTCGCCCTGAAATAGAAAAACAGCAAGCTCCGCTGCTTTTATGGCTAGGCATATATTGATTTTAGGAAACAATGAGCCACTAGTACAATGTAAAAAAAAAAAAGATATTGAGACTCTAGAAAGTGCAGAGAAGAGCAACAAAGATGATTCGGTGACTGATGGTTAAAACATATGAAGAACGGTTGCTGGAATTGGGTATGTCTAGTAGTTTAATGAAGAGAAGGACGAGGGGTGACATGATAGCAGTGTTCCAATATCTCAGGGGCTGCCACAAAGAAGAGGGAGTCAAGCTATTCTCCAAAGCGCCTGAAGGCAGGACAAGAAGCAACGGATGGAAACTAATCAAGGAGAGACGCAATCTAGAACAGGGCTTTTCAACCTTTTCACCCATTGTACCACTTTTAGGATATGGCAATATCCGAGTGCCACCAGTCGCCTAACAAGGTGTCAAAAACCTGATGACCCCCTCCCAAAAAGGAAAAAAGTGATGAAGTACAGGTAGTCCTCGACTTACAACAGTTCGCTTAGTGACTGAAGTTACAATGGCACTGAAAAAAGTGCCCCCCAAGCCAAGCAAGACACCTGCCTGCCCAGCTGGTGGCGCTCTTCCTCCTGTCCGAGGTTTTCATTGTTGTGAGCATTTCTGTTGAGGATTGGCAGCAGGGGTGGGGTGGGGGGGATGTTTGGTTTTTATTCCCCCCATCTGCTGGATGGTTGCAGCAGGTTTTGGTCATTCACATGACCCTGGGACACTGACCGTCATAAATATGAATCAGTTGCCAAGCAACTGAATGTAAATCACAAGACCCTGGAGATGCTGCAACATTCCAGCTGATTGGCGCTTCTGGGCTCAGCAGAAGCGCCAGGATCAGCACCGAGCTCCAGCTGGAGCCTGGCGCTGATCCTGGCGCTTCCACTGAGCTCTGACAGTCCCGAAGAAGCGCTGATCCTGGCGCTTCTGCTGAGCCCTGACAGCCCTGCAGCTCCAGCCATCTCTCGCTCAGGCTTGTGCAGTGCTGCCACTGGTTCAGCTCATTCCCCTCCCCCGCTACCATTTTTCTAGGATCATCACGTACCACCTGCCAGGTGCCAATGTATCACAGGTGGTACCCGTACCACTGGTTGAAAAGCCCTGATCTAGAACGAAGGAGAAATTTCCTGACAGTTAGAACAATTAACCAGTGGAACCACTTGCCTCCAGAAGTTGTGAATGCTCCAACACTGGAAGATTTTAAGAAGATATTGGACAATCATTTGTCCGAAATGGTATAGGGCAATGATGGCGAACCTTTTAGAGACCGAGTGCCCAAACTGCAACCCAAAACCCAGTTATGTATCGTCGGGTGCCAAGTGGGTGTGGCCCATTGGGTGGGCATGGCTTCGGTGGTAACGGCAGACTGGGTGGGACTAAAAAGTTTAATCAATCAATTCCAACTTTGTGAGATTTTTTATTTCCCCTGCAAAAAGTTGAAATTGATTGAACTTTTTTTTTTTTGCACATGGCGGCGGAGGCCTAAAGCGAAAAGGTTTTATAAAACCCAGCTGAAGGCCTAGGACTGGGACACCAGTGCTCATGCCCACAGAGAGGGCTCTGCGTGCCACCTGTGGCACGTATGCCATAGGTTCGCCCCCACGGGTATAGGGTTTACTGCTGAGCAGGGGACTGGACTAGAAGACCTCCAAGATCCCTTCTAACTCTGTTATTCTGTTCTGTAGTCTCTTTTAGCTAGATCATGGTAGCCTCGGGATGTATTGAACGGTCATGTTCATTATCTCCAGATGGCTTGGTCCTCCTCCCTTTTGAGTCCCATTTCAAGATGGGTGATGCAAGAAATAGCAGCTGTGCTCACTAATACTTAATGCTTCGCTGAATACCTGTTTGGTCACTTTTGACTGTGTTTTGTTTCTTTGGCTTAGTACTTGGTGTGAACCCAGCTTCAGATGAATAAATACTTCAGCGTATTACATAAAGAAAAAATGGGTTGATTTATTATTCAGATTAAGAGTATCGACTGAGGACAATTAATAACTTGATATTTGAAACTTTTCTGGTTATAGTCCACTCAGTCCAGAACAGTACATAACTGGCTCTCCTCCAAGGCGGTCAGTGCTGGGAGTGACACCTTAGCTAGAAATGGCTCTTTACCTTGCCTCCTTTAAGTGCTCTTAAGAAGCACTTGGTGCTTTTTATGACATTCTCAAGGAGAATGGAGGAGCCTGTGTCTCTCCAGATAATTGGACCACGTTTCCCATCCATAGGATTTGGAATCTAATATTTGTTCCCTCTTTTATTTTTTTAGAACAGGAGTTTTCAAACTTTTCTAAGCTATGGCATGTTTAAAAAAACATTTCCAAGAATCTCTGATTGAAGAGTGAGACTCGTGAGTATCAGCTGATAAGTTACTTTCAGATGTACATCAGTGACTATAGGGGAAAAACAGAGGGGTTTTTTTTCCACTTTAGTCCCTTGCACAATCCCCCCCCCTTTATTATCATGGAATCTAATTCAGTTCTTCGAGACAGATTAAATTAGGAGACCCAAATTGTGAATGTTAATACTATTTTTATTATACAATTACAGTAATGGAATCCAAGTCTGAATGTATTTCCCCCTTCCTTTGAGAGTAATATGGAGGGTCTTATCTGAGACATTTTCTCAAAGTACATTTCTTTCTTGGGCTCAAATGTTTTTTGTCTGCCTGTTGTCTTGGTTGCAACTCTTCCTCCTGTTCTTTGAGGTTACTTTTACAGCCCATTACATCTCTTTAAGTCTTTGCAGAACCTTAAACTTCCACAGAAACCAGTTTGACAAAATGTTAAGATGACAGAGTCCCATTGAAGTGTTCTGTCCTAAAGCTCTTATTTTTATTATATACATTTATTATGTTTTATCAACAAGAATAAAATACAAAACAGAAAAACATACATCCAACAACAAAAAAAGGAAAAAAATTGTGTACAAAAAAGAAAAATATCAAATAAGTCTAACACTGAACATAAAAGGTCCACCCTGGTTGGATGCTGAAAATAAAATAAAATAAAAAATTCTCCTCCCCTTACAAATAGTTATAATCATTCTCATCCTTATTTAACAACAAAAAACACTATTATATAAAATATTCCAGATGAGAGATCTCTATCTAATAATCAAATCGATCCAACATTTAATCATAATATACATATTAAAAATGGAAAAAACAGCAGGTTAACCCAAACTTTATACTAATCTTCATATCTCTCTGTTAACTATCTGTTATTGAATTCTGCCTCCCTGTAGTAGCTCAGTACTTTACTGATCAGGAGCTGGAAATAGAATGTAGAATATGTTTCTTGTGGAATATACTGTAATGCTTATAGGAGGTTGAGAGGCAGATGCAGAGTTAGCAAAAAGGGTGGGAAAACGTTTTTAAAAATTTCCAAAAGTAACTTGAAATCAGAGACAATTTGGTGTGTGTGTGAGAGAGAGAGAAATGGAGACTTTGGCTGTTAGTAAAGATGCTACAAGAGCGAACACAGCTAGTGGCTATTGAAGGTAAACAGTCTGTTGCTTTCTATTTGGAATAGGGTTGGCTGGCAAACTCAGATGGATTAAGCAGTTTCTACTAGTGATAATGTATGGGTGCTGAATGAGACCAGGGCAATCACGGTCTAGTGGAAGGAAGGTGGTGAAAGGTAAGAGCATTATGGGAATCCTTTTAGATGGCTCCAGGGCTTGGCTGGGATTGCAGAACAGCAGAAGAAACGTGATAAAAAGTTTCTCTGCAAAAGGTTTCTCTATCAACTACACCTGTTATCTCTTCAGCCTAGGAATGGATAATAAAATACCAACTAATTTCATAATACTTTTCCATAGATTTAAAATAGTGAATAGGATAGAACCTGGAGGGAGGTGCATATATGTTAGGAACACATTTATTAGGTTTACATCATATAGTATTAACAGATGCTTTACAATGTTTTTGAGAATAAATACAAGTCTGGAGAAAAAATATGTAAATGCATAAAGATAGTTCTTGCTTAAGTACAATAATTGGGATGAGAATTTTCATTGTTAAATGTTGCAGTTGTAAAGCACAATGTCACATCATGATGCTGCTTGGCAACAGCAGTTTTGGCAGTCCCCAGCTACCATTGTTAAAGGAGATTCTCAGATGATCATGACTTTTGATTTCCTACCAGCTTCCCCATTGACTTTGTGGGAAACCAACAGCAGATCATGTCACCAGGGGACACTATGACAATTGGAAATACTGGCCAGTTGTTGAGTGTCTGGATGGCAATCACATCCATAGGAGCACTGGGATGGCTGGAACTTCAAGGCAGGTTATAAGTACCACTCATTCAACACTGTCGCAAGTTTGAAGGTTGCTGAATGAATGGTCATTAAATGAGGACCATGTGTAAAGCTATGCACAACTGACTTAGAAAAGAATGCAAAAGAATTAGTAAGACTTGTAACCTGCAATGTACATATATTGCTAATTTCAACTTTCACTAATTAATTGTTTTACATTCTTCTCTAGGCCTGCAAGTTGACAGCATTTCATACCTCAATCAGATCCTAAAAACTGTGTTTGTATATCACTTGCTGACACAGAATACGCAGGACTTGGCTGCTGTTAGAACTATCAGGGCTTTTTTTCTCATAGAACGCCCAGAACTGAGTTCCGGCACCTTTTTTGGATGGAACTTTGTGGGGGAAGGC